TCATTGCAGAAGTTGTGTAGACATACTGCTGAAAGAAACTTTTTCCAAATTTTCCCTATAAACGCCTTTCTCAGACTATTCATCGGTATGAACGAAAGATCTTTCAAATTATCTCAATTCAACAAGATTGTCGGAGCAAGCTAGGTGCAAATTACTAATTGAGATCAACGAAAACTTATCAGCTGACCTTTTACTCCATCTATCCAACCAATCAATTTATTTAAATAATCTTAACTTATCATTTTAAGATGTACCTTTCAGAAAGGTACATCGAAAATCATCTTTCGTATTTCTTAGGTGTAGTTCCACACACATATTTTAGAGAAACGGATATTAAAATGGTAATTAAATTATACTTTAGGGAATTAACGTATTGCAAAATATGTCAATGTAAAAATATACAAATGGCCCTGACTAGTTCAAGGAGCAACCACTTTAGTGCACATTACTGGTAGACTCTAAACACATCAAGCACACTTTGCAATCAGTTTAAAGGAAATTAAAAATACGCAAAAAACCAGCATGTGAGCTGGTGTAATGTGTGTCTATTGAGAATCTCCCTGAAGACTCAGCTGACAGTTACCAGCCTGCAAGTAAGCTACTTATGTACTTATGTAAGCTGGTTTAAAAATAGCAAAACTTTGCTAAATAAGAACTTTTGCACAGAATTACGTCAGGACAAGGAAAAATTCGCAATAATTTTATGCACATTACAGCAGCATCAGCATCAGCAACAACAACAATAATAGTATAGGCAACTTTGGCAGCAGACATTTTCGTTACCATGACAACGGCCGGCATAGCAGATGAATGTATGCACTAGAAAATCGATGCTTGTGATAGGGTGTGGTCCAGACGTAAAAAGTACAAAATCTTAAGTTTGAACAACTAGCAAAGATTATAAAAAGAAAAAAAAATAATAATCAAAAAATTCTATGAAATCAACAACACATAATGCAACTCTCTGCACAGTACATAATAAGGGTGCACAGGCAATGCCGGTAAAAAGGAAGGAAAGTCTTTTGAATTGGGGATGCAGGTATTTGGCCTTGAGCTGCAACGTAGTTAAATATTGGAGTTATATATGGGTGAAAAAATTGGTAATGGTAAAAGAAATCTTTGTGGAATAATATTCATTATACCCCGAACTCATTGAGGGCAAAATAAAACTAAATGTTAATATTTGTTTATTTTCGGTTGTGAAATGGGGGAGGACCGAACTACGTGTTTAAGGAAACAATCAAAATGGAGTCGATTGTATTGTTAAGTGTTAAAATGAAAATAAAAATGATTCATAAAAGTTTGTGTGAAAGATTTTTTAAATTGATTGAAATGTATAAGTGAGATGAATGTAATAAATGTGGGTTGAAAAATAGGGGTAAAGTAAGGATAATTGATTTTGACACCTATGCTGTTCGTTAAAAGATGGAACTTGTAAGAGTTTCACTTACTCGTAATAATAGACAGTTTAAACTTTAAAGTAAAAATATATTCATTCGAAAGTAAAAAAATTTGGAGATAGGAACAAATAAACCCATTTTTTTATGCGGAGTCAAATTTTCGGAGTTATGGTTATTATGATTCTGTCAAGAAACAGACAATGTTTAGAGAAAAATTATTTTTGTCGCCTATCAGCTGCTAAATTGAAAATGACGATTGCGATGACTCTTCATAGAACTGATCTCACATAACTTTCGTTAAATAAATAGATAGGGTACGTCAATTGACAAATATGATATGACTCTCTGTATAGCATGCCTTTTTTAAGCATGATCAAAATATCATAAAATTGCAGTAACGCTTAGTAAGATTAGTTCGCATTTTTTGCCAGGCCTTATAAGGATATATAATAAAATTTCCAATATTAAAACTTGTAGCTGACTCATCCATTTTTTTTTTGTAATTATAATAAAAATTTTTTCGATTATTTGTTTATAATAATGATGTACAATAGAACTTAAGTCATAATTAGTTTTATTGTATACTTAAATATCTCTTTTATTTCTTCATAAAAATCTAGAAAATTTTTACGCTTTATATATAAAGAGTATAAAAAAAGGACTAAATGAATAATAAAGAAAATATATAATTTAAGGTAAAAAAGTTATGTTTTATAAACATTATGATTCAATAGTTTTAAAATACCACATCGTAACTACTGGTACTAAAAGAAGGAATCACAGAACAAATATTTTTGATATCATACCTAAATGTGTTGTTACGTTATGCATTTTTTGTACGCAGTTCCAGCTACAGATTGGTGGTATATAATAATATTTTTATAGTTCTATAAAAAAATATATTTCTTTGGTTCTTATCTTGATACATGATTCATACATGAAGTTATGCGAGCAAAATTTTTTCTAAGAAACAGGAAAATCTCATAAAGATATAGATATTTTTTAGAAACAATAAAAAGCTTATTTATTTCGTTTAATAAATGTTTGCAATACAAAAAAAAACTTATTAATATATATAGACTAAGTTATTTAACAAGCGTTACGACCACCTATTATCTAGAACTAAAATTATTAATGAATAGTCAATTGTTACCTCTCATTCATACAAGTCGTTAGCTACATTAAAGTCAATGTATTTTTTAATAATAAAAGATATTGGACGCCGTACAGTGACTGATTTTTGAAATTGAAAGGAGTTTCATTCCAATATAATAAATGTATTAGAATAAGTCTACTTCTTTAAAAACACTGATTATGAAGTGGACTGGTTCTTTAAAAATGGTCGTATAAGCGTTGAAGATAATACGAAAAATCGTCACAGAAACGCAATACATATATTGTTTAGATGTTCGTCCGTTAACCGATAAAGATAGGCGGTAGAAATGTTTACAAGTTCATTCGTTAATCAATAGAATAATCTGACTAGATCTGCACACAGATTAATAAATCTATATGTACTGAATTCGTTAAAAAAAGTAGCAAGAGTATTTTAGAAAAAATAAAAAGGTTTGTCTTTTCATAACTATAATTTTAATATAATGATCACGCATCAGAAAATAGTAAAGTCTAAAAAGTTTTTAAATCTGAACTAAAAAGAATGTCAGTTATGTGTGGTTACTTATAATTGTTATAGGATTTATCATATGTCTTATAAATATAGTACTCTATTTTTAAAACTAATGGCCTATTACGTGGCATCTAAATTGGCCCACAAGGCCGCCACCAACCTAATCTAACCAAATGTCCTATTAATATAACTGATTATTAAACTTTA